AATTGATTGATAATAATAAATTTATTAAGTTAAACATGTTTTAAAAAAATAGATGACCAATTTTTAAAAAAATTTTATAAAATTTTTTATGAAAGTAATGAATTTTATTTATTTTATTTTACAAATCATAAATTATAATTTGAAACTGAATTAAACCGTAAACTGTAATTCAGTTTGATTTATAAAAATTACAAATCATAAAGTATAATTTAATTTGAATTTGAGTATTAAATCGAATTAAACTGAGTTATGATCACCTTTGCTGACAAGAGGGTCTAAACTCGTACTAACATACAATTAAAATTTTTTGGCTTCTTATAAATTATAATTTGAAAAAATAGACTAAAATTTTAAACTTTCAGGAAATAATATTAGGAAATCAAAACCTAGGGGGGGGTGCCACGTCATCCAACAAAATCTAAAAATAAAAATAAAACATATAGATTATTTTTAAAATTCCATATTAATGTGAGTAGCTGAGTTGATTTTAATTGCATGGACTAATCAATATCATGACTTGAATTGAAGCAATTATAAAATGGTGGTTATGACAGGTCGATTCATGGGAGGAAAAAGTTAAGGCCTTTGCTTCAAACTTAACAGTATCATCATATTCAGGTTGCCTTGCATTCAAAGCGACTCCCCCAACTCTTCCACTTATACCAGAAGATTCTCCAAAAGTCGCTTCTACCATGATCAAGTTTTTACCTAACAACCAGAAGAATCTCCACAATTCGCTTCTACCATCTTCAAGCTTTTTACCTAACAAGATAATATAAACAAAGCTCTGTGAGATTTAAGACTGGCGGCAAAAGCCCTGTAAAATAAACAAATCTCTATAAAATATATTTTCCTTTTTCAATTTCTACGAAGCAAATGGACAAAAATAACATAAGCTATGTGAGATTTTTAAGAAGGTTGTAAGCGGCATTTTCAAGTTTCACCAATTCATCCAAACAAAAATAAACAAAATTATGAACAATTGAGTGGTTATAATTCCTGCTGATTTAAAACTAATGGCATTATTATTATTATTATTACTACTATTGCTGCATATGTGTCATGGTCTTATATTACACAGAGTGAAGGAGAATGATTAAGTTATAAGTGAAAGTATCGTATGTTCTAATATTTTATTTTTTTAAAAAAGATAATAATTCTATGACATATAAATCACATATCTTAAAAACAAAACAAATTATTGTTCTAATAAAGTTTTTAAGACATAACTTGCTAAGTTTGTGATCTTTCTATCTATTCTAGGAAGAAAGTTTCATACCTATTTACATTTATCATATGAAGGAAATAATATATCTATGTATAACATTCATCAGAATTGTTATTTCTATTACATTCTAAAATAAAATTTAAGCATCAAATATAACTAATGAGCTTATGAAATACATTTAAATAATCAATAATTAATAGTTATCTGATTCAAATGGCTTCAATTTAAATTTTGAAACCAGTAAACCACCTGTGAAAATTAACCAGTAGAGTCTATTTAATTTGTGGTAAAAAGGAGGAGAAAAAATTAATAATAATAAAGCAAATTTTCACAATTTTAAATTGTTAATAACAATAAAAGTAATAGTAATTCATGCTTATCTGTTGCAATCCAAAACAATTAGTAATTAAAAATAATTTGTGAGCAACATGACTGGAAAAAGGAAAGGAAGACGACAACAAATGACAACGAAGATGTTAGAAGAGATTTCATTTTTACTTGGGTTTCCTGAAATCCCGTTTAGAAGCATACCGAAAAGTGAAGTGGATTAAAAGCAATAGTTTAAGTGCTTTTTGATTCCCGATTAAGAGGAACTAAGTCTACATGCAATGATCTATGTTTGGCAACCGCAAGAAAATTTCAAAGTTTCTCTAGAGAATATAGTATGATCGTGCCAAGTCAAGATCGGGTCAACCCAACTCACCAAACGGGGCCGGCTTTTGAATTTTCAAATACAAAGTTGCTTGGACATGAGTGTTCGTGGGGTTATAATTAAGAAGAGTTTTCCATTTGTCTAAGTCCAAGGTGATAAACAACTTTGGACGGCAAAAGATTTGAACAAGAGAATCCATATTTATTGCAAAACTAAGTTTTCAATTTTCACAACGTTAGACTTTGTTTGGTCGTGCAATTGTTTAAGTCAATGACCATATTTTTTTAAATATATCTCTCACGTAGATGACCCATAAGCATTTAATAATGATATATTCGTTGTCTCATTTTCATCCTTTAGCGAGGATTTATAAATGAGTTGAAATTGAATTCATTCTCATGTCACTCAATTAATCAGATTTATACATAATTTAAACATAAATTAGGAAGAAAATATAAATCTTGATTTTATCTATTATTTGTTTATTTATTTATTTTTGTTATAAAAAGGACATAAAAGCTTGAAAGGAAACTAAAAATATTAGGAATCCGAACTCTAGATAGTTTTAGAAAGCTCTCAAGCTTGGGAGAAGAAAAGTTTAATCTTTCAAACTTGGCTCACAAGAAAGGCTTGATTTGGCAATTAAATTTGCATAAACTTCAAGACCTCTATTTATACAAACAATCTCTCTGATTGTTATTAGAAAATAAGCATATGATAAATTCTAGATAAAAGAATGACGAATTCGATATAACTCATTCGTTTATCAATTATCGTATTCTAAAAAAATTTGAGTCTATTTCAAGATCATCCATCTCATACTTAAATTTCACACTAATTTGTTTTTTATTTTTATTTTAAAATTAAAAAAATAAAAATATACATATCTAGATTTGGCCCCAACTCGTCACTTGTAAGTGGGCCGGATTGGATTGGCTCCTTAATTTTAAAAGCATAAAGTTGAATATTAATTAAAAAAAAAGCAGCTTGCCTAAAGGAACCGCGTAGATTTGAACAAGTGATTCATACTGAAACTACCCAATTTGACCACAACGCTTTGTCCAAACTTAATGGACCTTTCTTAAATTTCTAACAATTAATTGAGCCATCACGTGAAAATGAAATTGCTTACTGGGTCCCGATTATGTTTTCTGCAGCTTTCTTTGACTTTGGGCTCCCCAAACTTTATGTGGTCAGCTTGACTTTGTCAAGACTACTGTTTCGGAGTACCGGTTGTTCATTGTTGTTCTGATTTACATTGGACCCTAATAAAACAGGTTTCTGGTATCCATGAAACGGGCCTACTAACCAGTGCATGGGTGGAGCAGGTCATTAAATGGGCCTATTCAATTATTGGGCTGTAGGCCCAATACCATGGGCTTGGACTTGGTTAATCGATAAAGCATTTTTCAGGGATGCTTGAATTATTGTCGCCCATGTTGCCGGCTTATCTGGAGAATGTGGATACAGGCACGTACATAAACGGGTTGGTTTAGATCAAATTAGGTTGATTTGAATTCGAATTCGATTATCAATGTATATATTCGAATTCGATCTGAAATTCTATAGAATTTCTACTTGTTATTACCAAATTCAAATCCGATAAAAATCTAAAATTCGATCTGAATAACTGTTAATAATAATTAAAATCAAATAATCAATAAGTAAAAAATATGTAAAATCAAATAAATTATTATATATGAATGATAAAAATTCATATAAGATTTATACTTAATTATTTTTCTTTTATTAAAATATAAATAAAATTAAAAAATAAATTGTTATTTATGAATGATAAATAATAACTTTTGTTATATAATATATTACAAAAGTGACGATAGAATTCAAATATTTTATAAAATTATCAAGTTTTATTTGTATTATAGTTATAACTTAGAAAAATTTATAATCAATTCATTCAAGTGTTTCATGAAATTTCAAAATTAATTAATTATTAAAAATAATACTTACTAGAAAAACTAAAATTAAGAAAAGTAGAAGAATATTATAAAATAGTTTAGAAAAAATATACATTATTCTATTAAATAAAATACATCACAAATACAAATTAGTGCATTATTAATTATAATGTCATATATATTATATTATATATAAAAGTATTTTTTAATATATATAATTATTAATTAAATAAAAGTTATTATTAAAATATTTGGATTTGGATTTTTAACGGATCGGATTGCTTAATTTTATATCCAGTCCACTTATTTTGGATTACGAATATTTATAATCAAATTTAATCTATCTGACATTTTAATTGGTTAAATAGCCTAAAATTCGGATCGAATTTGGATCGAATTCGGATTAAAATCCAACCCATTGACAGCCCTAGATGCAGTTAGTGCATGTGAGTTTCGTACTCATTCTAGTTTTTGTGAATTTTATATTTTACATAATAATAAATATATACAATTAAAAATAATCTATAATTAACAAATTAATTTCTAATTTATTTTTGAAATGACTTACTGTATTTTTTGAAATTTTATTTATTATCCTTTATCTATTATAATATTTGAGTGACTTTTATTTCTAACAATCTATTTATTTTGAGTCTTGGATTGAATGGAAGTTTTTTACCCAACGTTTTAAGGACCTGCAATTTCCAGCCACAGCTTCAAATTGCGCGTGCGAGAAATCTGAAGGTCCGGAGGAGATCAGACAACCAAGCGACATGGAACCATTAGGCATACAAAATCCACCCCCTTAACATGCCACGTGGCAAGCAATGTCCCATTTTGTCACCCAAAGTTGACGTTAAATGACAAAATAATCCCTGGCATATGACGTGCCGCTTTTACATTGGTTCTCTCCATTGCATCTGGCAACACAGGCGCTTCAGAGTTACAGATGATTCGGTGCGACGCAGCACCATAAAAGGCTGGTTTGGTCTTCACGATCAGAGGCGTTGGCTTGTAGGGTTTAACGCGGCTTTGCTTCGCCTCTATCCCCCCTCCACTGGCTGCCAGAGGCGGAGTCCTGTAGAGATAGGCACAGGAAGTTATAGGTGTCCGCACAATAGAAAGCGAGGGTTTTGGTTTTGGTTGCAAAATCTGAAGCATCTATCTCTTCGTAGTTCAATTAATTACAGGGACATTACTCATGGCTGAAACTATGAACAGTTCATCGAAATCAGATGAATTATATGCACTCTCCGATGTGTTGTTGGATCATCTGGCAGAGGCTCCGAAGTTAGAAGGATCTCTGTTTTCTAGAAAGATAGAATTTCACTTGGCCAGGAAGCCGTTCTCTGGTTTCAGCAACGGAGGTGCGGGTTTCCGGTTGGAGACCCTGAACCCATCAAGCTCGGATTCCCGGGCGGCCGACGGTTGTGGTCAATCGGCACCGCCTGGGAAGAAGCAAGACGGCCCTGATTTTCTTGATGTCGGGTTGGATCCCGAGCTGAGTTTTCCGATTACGTTCAAGAGAATTGTGAGTTGTTTTTGGCCTTTGCAGCTTGTTCTTGATTGATTTGAATATTTCATGGTTGTCTTACGGTGTAATTGTCTAAAATGCTTGCTTCAGCTGCGGAGGTAGTGTGATTTGAGGCTTATTTCTTTGTATTGCGGTTACTTTTGCTGAACTTTGGATAAAATTTTGGTTCTTTACTGATTACTCCATCATTGTTTTGGCTATGGTTCTTACAAGATCCAGCACGGGGAGCAGTGGGGTTGGGATGACTTGCTTTGGATAATGGAAAAGGAAATATCTTAATTGGGTTGAAGGATTGTTTAATAAGTCCATTAGTGGTCTTCTGTAATGCTTGGGTTGATTCAGACATCTGGGCATGATGTTGCTCTTCTAAATAGATATGTGAAAATCCTCAAAAGAAAACACTTTAGTCCTAGTGCCTAATACTCTCACATGATGTAGATATGTTAATATCCTTAAACAGAACACTATTAAACTTCTGCAAAGGAAAGATAGGGCAACATCTCCCATATATATAACGAGGTTAATTTTATATTTTGAAGCAATTATGCTTATGCAGCAATGGTATAGTCTTACCATTCTGCTGAAGTACACATGTTTGTGATATAATTCTCTCCAGAAAATTCTCCTATGTTCATTGCTTAGGTTCTGATAGTCACCAACACAAGTTTGCAACTTTTAAGAATTCTTTTTCTTGTGCATTTCAGCCTGGCTAAACTCAATATATTGGCTTCAATTAAAAGGCTGTCATCATCTATTTCAGAGCGTTTGGTGATTGGAAGTTACTCTGTTGTCTTGCAATGATAAATTGCTGTTGTCTTGATGTTTGTGAAGAATTTATTTTATTTTTAGCCAAGGGCCTTTCTATAATTGGTAATGTATTTCTGTCATCTTGTAATATTTGATTTTTTTTAAGCTTGTTTCTTTATGTTTTTGGCCATTACGATATTATATTTGGGCTTATGTGTTACCATAGTGGTTGCCTTGGTAATGCAGTTTGTGATGTTCAAATCAGTCCATGGTTGATTTTATTTATTTATTTTTTTTTTGTGACATCTGTCTGGATAGGAAATGTGTGTTTTAATGTAGTTGAATCATTTTAACTTTTTAAGTTATGGGAGGGATTGCTTAATCATGTTGCTTATTCTTTTATCTATTTTTTTTGAAATAAATTTATTTTAAAGACTTTGATTGATTTGGCTGTGTTCAATTATTTTCTTATTTTTAGTTTAACATAGATGAATTTCTACTTGGTTTTATCAAGTTGTTTAACCACGGAGATATGGAAACTTCACAGGGTGCAGGACTGGAAAATCTGGGAAATACATGTTTTCTCAATTCAGTATTACAGTGTCTCACATACACAGAGCCTTTAGCAGCATATTTACAAAGTGGGAAGCATCAAAATTCTTGTGAGTTTTGTTACCCTCTTTGCCTTTCTCATGCTTGTAATTCACATTCTAACTGCAACACATTATTATATAATGTTCAACTTTTATATTCCCGGTATATTCCCTGAAAAATTTATCTATTTAGTATGAAATATTGTTGAATTATATTTCGACGATGTATGGAAGTCCATGCACTAGAAGATATAATTTTGGAAATACCATGTAGTTAAATTTGAACCTGAAGTCTACCATCTGATTGATGTTGGCTTAGGGAAGCATTTGATTCCTTTATATATAACACGTACGTATGTATATAAATTTAAAGGATATTTTTTGGGTATGATTATTTTGTGGTTCCTATGTTAATTTCCATCTTTAGCATGTTTTTTGTCTAAAAATGATATTTGTATCCTTCATAACTTGTTTTTAATTAATTCATGAAGGCCGTACTGCTGGATTTTGTGCTTTGTGTGCCATTCAGAAGCATGTTAGTCGTGCTCTACAATTAACTGGTAGAAGCTTGGCACCAAAGGAGATTGTTTCAAACTTAAGGTGTATCCTTACACTTGGGGATCAGATAAGTTTCATGAAATTTCAAAATAAAGACTAATGTTTCTTTTTTTCAATTGCAATCATTATGTGTTTATCTGTCTTATAGTGGTGAAGAGTTTAAAAAATGGAAAATATATTTTTCAATGTGAGGGGAGGGTTCAGTTTTTAGATTTGAATATTATGGCAGCTGTTTGTATGACTGTTTGATTTAATTTTTTTAGTTTTCTTTTTTTGGTTTTAATTTCTGATATATTGTAATCGTGTTGAGACAAACTTTATATGCCAAAATGAAATTAGTAATTTAATTTATATTAAACTGACTTTGCTTCAAGCAGGCTTAAATTAAATTGTTCTCCATATTTCCCTGCTCGTTATGGATACAAGAAAGAAGGGGAAATGGAAAGGACAACACCAAATACAATTGGATCTTTCTTTTTCCTTGTGTTTTTCAGAATCTGTAATCCTTGACCACATATTAGGCATATCTCGAAACTTCCGAAATTCCAGGCAGGAGGATGCTCATGAGTACATGGTAAATTTGCTGGAATCAATGCATAGATGTTGCTTACCTGCAGGAGAACCAAGTGAATCCCCTAGTGCTTATGAGAGAAGTTTGGTTCACAAGATATTTGGTGGCCGCCTCCGTAGTCAGGTTTTATTTCTTGCTTGGATTATAGAAGATGTTACTTTTGTTACCATGAATTGGATTAATATATAAATATTGGCAGCAGTCTGGGATTTCTTCTAGATGGACTTGCTCTTGGTAACATTGGAATCTGTTTGGTTTTGGAACTTCTGCTGTTTGTTCCATTTTTAGTTGTATATCTTTTTCAGGTGAAATGCATGCAATGCTCTTTCTGCTCCAACAAGTTCGACCCTTTCCTAGATTTAAGTCTTGAAATTCTCAAGGCAGAATCTTTGCAAAAAGCACTAGTGCACTTCACTGCCAAAGAATATTTAGATGGGGGTGAGCGGCAGTACCAATGTCAAAGGTGCAACCAAAAAGTAAAGGCTCTAAAGCAGCTCACAATTCACAAAGCTCCACATGTTCTTACCATTCATCTAAAGCGTTTTGGTGCACATCAACATTGGCAAAAGATTGACAAGAAAGTTCATTTTGGTCCTGCATTGGACTTGAAGCCTTTTGTCACTGGTTCTTATGTAAGTGAACTGTCTATCATGAACGTATATCCTTAGGATTTCTGGTGTTGTATTTAAAGGTAAATTGTGAACCAATTTTCGGAATTGAGAAAGATTGGAACCTGATTACTCTGCTGTCTATGAAAGGTGGGTCTCTGAGATATTTGCACTGGGTTTTCTATTTGTGAAATTATCTTTAGAATAACAAGATGTGATTTCCTTTCCATATGGACTGTGTCTTAGAAGTATGGATGCATTCTCAAAAGCACTGATTTTGTTTGGTAATAAAATAATATTCTTTGATGTTACATTTGGATGAGAATAAATTTTGGAAGATATGTTGGCCAACTGTTAAAGAAGATAAATGAGAGGTATGATAGGGAATGGATTGAAAGCTTTTGATGTATACGTCTTTTTGAAACATTCTCTCTTGCATTTGCTCCATTCTCTTCATCAATGCCTTAGGTTACCGTCTGTCGTTTTGTGTGTGGTTCTTAAAACATATTTTCCTGACAGAACTTAAGTCCAGCACAGCCTTGAATAGTTCATGGAAATTTAAACCCTTGTTGACTTGACATTGTCGTATTGTTTGTGGGGGCTTCTCCAACAGGCACTTCATCCACTAGATTTATGCATTTTCTGGCATAAGTAATTAATTTTTCTTTCTTAGGAATTCAAGGTTATTCTATAAATGCCCTTAAGCTGCCAGATGATTGGATGACACATTGCTATTTGCTATTTTTTTCTGGGGAAAAAAAATTGACTGGACTTTTGACATTTGTCTAGTGGATAATAATTCCCCATGGCACAAGGACTCTTGTTGATCTGGAAGATGATCTATCATGTCCTTAGTTACTCTTTTAAGTGTCACTGATAGTGATTAGATGAACAAGTGTGGCCTAGTCACTTTCCAATGTTAGTCTATGAGCCTTGGTCTTCTGTTAATGACTATATTTTTACATTCTCCAATACTTAGCAGGATGGAGATTTGAAGTACACTCTTTATGGTGTTCTTGTTCATGCTGGTAGCAACACACGCTGTGGCCATTACTACTGTTTTGTCCGCACATCAAGTGGCATGTGGTACTCCCTTGATGATCATCAGGTATTAGGTCTTCCACGTCTATGGTTACTGGTTTCTTTTTAGAGGTTGTTTAGATGTAATAATGAAAAGCTTTATCTGTGAACATCATGTATTATTTTCATTGTGTCTTTGAACTCACTTGAATTTCTTTCCTTCGGAACCACATGGTTTCACTTAAAACTTTCTTTTATTTATTTTAAATATAACTACTAGGCACTACTCTGGAGCTTCAACTTCATATTTCACTATTACTTTGTACATCCATACAACCTTATTGTGTGGTACTGCAAGATTATAATCTAACCTGCTGCTTTGGTTGTCATTTGCTGCCATTATGTTCGCTTGCTTTCTGCTGGCTGGCATGATCTATCTTTTTACTTTGTTGATGTGTTCTTTCACTTATGGTCTTAAAGGAACTTAGACACTCTTACTGAGGTTAGACTGCTAGATTGTGCATCTCAGATTGGATAAAATCGGCATAGTGTTACAAGAAGACTTTAAAACTTAAAGTGAACTACGGTTTGGTATGTGCCATCTGGAACATCGTATACTTGCATTTCAACACTGTGAATAAGAGTCCATATTTTAAACAACCACTAAAAATTATGTCAATTATTTGGCTTGTTAAGTTGATTGCTATGCTGTAGCCTACTTGATCTGGTATTTGGTATGTAGACCTTGGTTTGCTGATTTACTATTTATTAGATTTGTTAACAATTGGCATTGTTGTTGTTGTTGTTTTTTTTTTTTTTAATTTTTTAATTTTTATTTTTACCATGCTATTCTAAGCCTGAACTGCCCTTCTCACTTGCTTATTTGTACCCTGCATCAAGCTTTCTGGAACTCTTGTGCATTTAGACGAGGGCTTTTTAAGTCAAAATGCAGTATTTAAAATACTTCTAGAGTTGGACTTTGTAGCCTTAGACTAGACTTTTGGAATTCTTTCATGTTGGATGGGCAAAAAATACCTTTCAACCCTGGTTTTCATGCTAGAAATACTGGATTTGCTCCAAAATGTCTGTGATTATTAGCAGCTTAGAAATTGAGGGGAAGAATGTTACTATCTTGTTAGAAAGGGCCTTGGTTCTTTTTTTCACAGAAATGATCTGGCTTTGAGAGAAGCCAAGGGAAGCAAATAATAGGATGTTCAGGTTGCAGTCTGGGTGTTTTCTCCGAATCAAGCATTATTGCACACTACTATATATTTAAATAAATGATATAGCTGTGTAAATGGTTTGGCAGTTTTGTATGAAAATACAAACTGCACCTACTTTAAGCCATAATTTTATAAACACTCAAACCTAACCATACTTTTTTCTTTCTTTTCTTTTCTTTTTATTTTTTATTTTTTAAGTTTACAAACTAAAGAAAACCAGATTGGGCTTTTTAGTTTGGTTCAGCATTTTAAACTACTGAGTAGATGTATCTACCAACACTCCTATGTTGATCTTAAAACCTTTGTTGCCTTAAAACCTTTGTTGTCTTAAAACCTTTCTTCTCATTGAAGTGGAAGGGCCTTTGTTGCATGTTATATGTCCTAAGATACCTCAAACATGGGGGTTGATTGGTGATCTTTGGATCTTAGATGAAATATTTTCTTTTGGTTAGATATAGAATCATTGTCTCACTAATAGTTGTCAAATCATGAATTGTATTGAGAATCGTTTATTTAATTTTTGAATTGTGAATCATGAATCATAACGTGTTAGAAACACATCAATAAAACACTTAGGGGGCGTTTGGTTGGCCCGTTTTCTATTTTCATTTTCAATAAAAACAGAAAATGGGCCTGAAAACATGTTTGGTAAGTGTTTTCATTTTCATTATTAGAAAACATTTCTAAAATTCGATAAACAAGAGAAAACGATAAAAAGTTGTTTTCTCTGTTTTCTGTAAAAAGTGAAAACACGGTGGTATAATCGTAATTTTTTCAATTTTCGGTACCTTTTTTATACCACTCACTTGGATGCCACTGTGCTCATCTCTTCTCCCTCTCATCGCCCATCTCTTCTCCTTGTTGCCTTTCTCTCAAAAATGCAGAGGAAGCGTCGTTATCTCTCCTCTCTCAGTCACCATCTCTCTCTCTCTCTCTCTCTCTCTCTCTCTCTCTCTCTCTCTCTCTCTCTCTCTCTCTCTCTCGTCTTTCTCTCTCTGTCTTGCTCTCTCATCTTGTCTATTGTCGACCTTCCCGACGACCACAGATCCGAACAATGCTGTCGCCTACCTTACTTGAAGATCTGAAGACCTTTTGTACCTTTTGATTTGCAAAAATGGTTCCAAAATCCCAGCGTGGATGGCTGCTCAAACAGGAAAAACAGCAGTGAAATTTCAGCAATAGAAATTGAAATTTTTTCAAATTGATTTGGGGTATTGTTGTTCGGATCACAAGATTAGAAATCCATGAAATTTCTTCAAAAGAGCTGAAATCACAACAAAAACAAAGTCGGGTTGCAATCGGGTCTGTTTGACCCGATCGCGACCCGACTAGAGGTTGAAGACGACCCATTTTGTGAAATTTCATTTTGGTCCCTTGTTTCTTCTTTATTATTCAATTTAGTCTTTGTGCTTTTCAGATTTCGTTTCCAAACCTGGAATTTCGATTAAATCCCTATCAGAAGCCCTACAATTTTAATTTCATTCAATTAAGTCCTCATTTTCAATTTATTAAAAATGGATTAACCAAACATATTTTTTCTTTGTTTTCATTTTTTGAAAATAAAAAATGGCAAATCTTACCAAATATGTTTTCTAAATTTGAAAATTTTGAAAATGAGAACTATTTTTTAAAAAATAGAAATAGAAAAGGAAAAGGGAAAACATTTTCGCAAACCAAATGCCCCCTTAGGTATAGATGATTTCATATTTAAGACAAACAAAATACATAAAAGTCTCAAATAAATACTTAAATATTTCACAATAATAGGGCTATATATTTTATCATGGGATGCCAAACCGAGATAAATTTTATAAATTAAACTAATAAAAGAAAATAACACAATTAATTTAAAATTTTTAATATAAAAGAAGTTTCTAACATTAAAATTTATACAAATTTATGCAATTACTTAATGTAAAATGATTATGAAACTGTTAATCATTGATTTAGTCTACACAAATTGTATATTAAACATAAGTATTTATCAATTCATAAATTGTATCATGAGTCATATCGAGAATCATATCGAATCGTGCATGAATTGCACGATTCAAATGCTTTTACGATTCAACAGCTGATACAAATAGCTGGCTTCACAAATCGTATTGAATCGCATGAATTGAATGGTGAATACAATTCTAGCAACACTGGTCTCACTTATCAAGACTTTTGTTTGACTTTAACTTGCATGGTAAGATTTGAGATTTCTATTTTTCAAATTCACTGTGATCATAGTGCATTGAGAATTGACTTGATATTACTTCAATTGTGAAGAGAGTTTGGTTTCACCATTTAATGGTCAATGAAGCCTGGGTACCTCTGAGGCAATTAATCCATGGCAATTGTATTTATTGATCATCTATCAGTTATTTGAACTGCATATTGCATAAGGATACCCCCTCCCTAGATGAAAAAATCGTACAGTTTTTATAATCTCTCTTATTTTATTTTATTTTTTGGACAGCTTGTATGCTGGGAATAATGTTTGATGCTGCTGACACTGGATCTAGTTCATAGCATTCAATTGCTGTGCGAGTTAAATGCATGTTCTTTTTTGATTATTGTACTGAGAGAGATTTCTGATGTGATTTAATTTAATGGATTACAGGTTCGACAAGTTAGTGAAAAGGTAGTTTTGGAGCAGAAGGCCTATATGTTGTTCTATGTCCGAGATAGAAGACAATTGTCTCTAAGAAAGCCTGGTGATGCTTTTAAGAAAGAAAGCTTGGTTGTAAATCCTATGGGAGCTAATTTGCTTTCAAACTCTAATCAAGGTCTAAAAGGAACAATTCAAAATGGGCCAGTTGATAAAAAGGTAAATGGTGTCAATCCAATTGCTGTTGTAGCCCATAAGAATGAAAATATTACTAGTTCACTGAATGAAAACATCAAGAAGGAAGCTTTGATTCAAAAAACTGATTCACCAAAAATGGTAGAAAGCTTGGGGCTCACAAAAGATTCTTCACTACATGCTTCATCTAAAGTACCAATTTCCAAGGATGCTGTAAATAGGAATGTGCTAACTAATGAATACAGTAAGGAGAATGATGTGAAGAAATTGGGTAGCTTGGTTGCACCGGCACCCAGTTGCAGTAGCCTACTGAATTTGATTGCCAAGGAAGAGCCAAGTAATGAGGTTGCAAAGCCATCTAACAACACCGGAGGAGGAAGCACTAGGAAAAATCTAAGTGATTCCATTCCCAGTGTCCCTAATTGCTGCAATGGGCAGAATAATTTTGGCAATTTGTGTACAGCAGGAAAAACAGACAAAGTCTCTGAAAAGGTAACTCTCCAGTTTTTTGCACCTTAGATATCCCTTTTTTGACCATCTTTTTCTTTTTACTATTTTTCTATAAATCCATTTTCATAATGTGGTTTCATGCAGGATTTTGGTGATGAAAAAATTGAGAAAATTGATCCTGCAAAGTCATTAAATCATCTGATACGTGAAAGTGGTGAGGTGAGTTTGTCCACTCTTTGAGACCTTGTACTTCATGATGTATTTATTGTTGAAGTGTTTGTCTAATTCTCTATTTTGGTCTTTTCTCTCTTTTCTTTTTATATCCAGATTTCCAGGAAGAGGACTGTTGATAATAGTATTCAGCAAATGGGTATTATGGAATCAGCCAAATCACTGAGCCTGCAAATGAAACATAGATGTCAACAGGATGCTCTTGATTTTAAACGCCTCCCGAAATTGAAGAAAAAGTTGCTTAAGTATCAGGTTATGACCATGTACTTTAGCTCAAGCATCCTTTTCAGTGCATCATTAAGCCTGCGGAAGAAGATGCACAAAAGAATTAAGAGGCGTGTTGCAAAGATCAAGAAGCTTTCTCTGGATCATTTGTCTGATAGGGAGGGTAGCACAGCAGATTGTGGGCCATCTACATCTGAGATTACTAAGACACTGTCTGTTGATGATGATGCTCACTCTCAAAGTAGGCTCTTGAAAACCAGGTTGCATAAGAAAGATGATATTGGTCTTTCAAGGAATATAAAGAGTCCTAATTGCAATGTTGGGGAGGGGATTAGTGATGAACTTGGAGCCAGACGTGATGAAAATGGTGCTATGCTTGCAAGGGATAAGCAACCACAAAGAAATTGTGGCTCAAGTCTGATGGGAAGTCACCAAGATGCTTTTGGGGCCAACTGTTCAAAAGAGAGCAGAAGAGTATCCGGACACAGTGGTTTGATGAGCATACTTACCAGAGGTTTGGAGGATAGAGTTGGTGAGTGATAGAAGTTTTTAATTTGATGGTTTTTGTTAGCATCAAACTTTATGATTTAAAGTGAAAGTATGCTATGCATTATTGTGAGGTTATTTTACTTAATGATCTGGGTTTTGTCAATTGCAGTAGCACGCTGGGATGGACTAGAATTGCCTACATCTCAAATTACAGAATCCACTACTGCAGAGGCTGTTGGTATTGGCTATGTAGTTGATGAATGGTAAGTTGATTTTTACATCATAAATCCTCCTATTATATGAGTTTGTTAGAATATAAAGACAATGTCCTAGGGTCAAAGTTGCTGTTTAACTTAAATTTTGGGTCCAATGAGATTTAAGTCTATAAGCCAACTTCTTTCTGCACATAATTTTGTCCGCATTTGGTTTAAGGAGTTCATCTGATCCCTGCCATGGTACCGGCAGCAGTGGGCTATGTTATTTTGTGAGCTGATAATTTTACATTTTGTGAGATTGGTGCTTATCAAATTTATATGATGCTAAAAATATTAAGACAGATTTTAGAGAGGACTAATGACTAAAAGGAACTCAACTGTGTTTCTATAACAAAACTTCTGCAGGGATGAAGAATATGACAGGGGAGGAGGAAGAAGGTGAGAAGCTTCAAGGATGCTTTTGGTGGACTGAATCCATTCCAAGAAATTGCAAGCAAGAAGGCAAAGTTGAAGAAGTTGAAGATGGACCAATCCAGCTCTGGAAACCAACCTTTCAGGATATAAGGGCGGTGTCTATTGACTCCATTCAGGGAGGAGCCTAATTTGTTTACCCTACCATATTTTTCGGTGCATCTTCATCGTGCTAATGACCTGGCTACTTAATGTAATACCAAATGCCTGAGAAATAATAATTTATTTTTGTGAGTTTATCTTTCATTTCTTCTTGATTTTTCATCTTAGCATCACGAATTTGTACTTGTGGGAGACCATATATTCCCAGAGCAGTATTAGAAAAAATATAGATGGTGTGAGAGGTTTGCTTCTCCTGGAATGTAACAAAGGCTTTGAGCTGGGATGTTTCATCCAAGAATTTTGTAGGGAGATTCTAGACAAAGAATCAATTAGAAAGTGAACTATTTATTTCCTGTCTTGGTGCTGCCTTTTTTCTTCTCTTATATTTTTTTGGACCATATCCCTTGATACTATTCGTACTTCTGGCGTATATTGTGTGGATTACCATATTTGCAGTTGAGAGTCCAATTAAATTAATTGGAAATGTTGGGATAGTTGTTAATATTAATAATATTTAAATAACGGTTTTATTTGTAAATTTGAAATGGCAGCAATTACATTGTCTTTATGGTCTAACAAACTCACATAATAGGAGGATTTACCGTGTAGAAATCAACCCACCATTTATCACCTACTTAAAAAAGATTCTGTACTTTGAGATGTAGGCAAGGCAATTCTAGTCCATCCCATCGTGCTACTGCAGTTGAGAGAATTTAAATCAAGCAAAACAACCTCACAATAATGAGATGTTGGCAATTCTAGTCCATCACACGTGCTACTGCCATGGAGAAAATCCAAATCATTAAGTAAAATAACCTTACAATAATGCATAGCTTACTTTTGCTTTAAATTAATAAGTCTGATGCTAACGAAAAATCATCAGGGGTAGCAGCTGATTAAAAACTTCCAACTATTGTTCACCATGTCCTCCAAACCCCTGGTAAGCACGCTCGTCAATCCACCGCGTCCTGATTTCATTGCTCTCTTTTGGACAGTTGGCCCGAAGAGCATCTTGATGACTTCTCACCAGATTTGAGCCACAAGATCTTTATGGTTGCTTATCCCTTGCAAGGGTAGCGCCATTTTCATAATGTCTGGCACCAAGTTCATCACTAATCTCACCATTGCAATTAGGACTTTTTACATTCCCTAAAAGACCAATATCATCTTTCTTGTGCAACCCAGTTTTCGACAGCCTATTTGGAGAGCAAGCATAGTAATCTTAGATGTAGATGGCCCACAATCTCCTACGTTACCCTCCCTATCAGATAAGTTCTCCAGAGAAAGCTCCTTTATCGTAGCAACTCGCCGGTTAAATCTTTTGTGCATCTTCTTTGGCATGCTTAACGATGCACTGAAAAGGATAATTGAACTGAAGTATATGTTCATAGACTGATACTTGAGCAACTTTTTCTTCAATTTCGCGAGTCGTTTAAAATCAAGAAAATCCTGGGACAAATATATTTGTTTGCAGTGATTCAGTTGATTTCATAAAATACTCATTTGCTGACTATCATTATCAAGAGTCCTCTTCCTAGACAAAGTTTTGATCCGGATAGAAAAAGAAAAGAGAGAAAAGGCTAAAATAGATAACTAGATAAGCGCTTCAACAATATATTTATCATGAATTACAAAGTGTCAAAAGAGCTGATAAATTCACCTCACTGCTTTCATATTTAAAATGATTTAATGACCTCAAAGGATCAATTTTCTCAATTTTTTCGTTACCAGAATCCTAGCACGAAACCACACTATGAAACTGGATTTACAGGAAAATGATAAGAAGAGAAGGATGGTGGCCGAAGAGGGATATCAGGGTGCAAAAATTGGAGAGGAATAGCAGATCCAATTTGTCACCTTTTTAGAGCTTTTATATCTATTTTGTCTGCCATACACAAACTGCTAAAATTATGCTGGCCATTGCAGCAATTACGGACAATGGGAATTGGGTCACTAAAACTACTTCCTCCTCCAGTGTTGTCAGACGGCTGTATTCCATGGCAATCGAATTCAGCGGGCCACTGCAAGTCTGCAATTGGGTGCGGTGCAACCAAGCTACTCGATTTCTTCCCACTATTCTCCTCACCGTCTTCATTAGTTATATCAGAGGTGGTTGCAGGCAAGGTGCCATCAAGACCCTCGTCAGATCTCTTTGTACCAGTTGATGGTCCCACGTTCCCATTTAGGGCATCCTTGGAAACTGGTACTTCAGTTGAAACACGTGGTAAAGAATCTTTTGTGAGCACTGAGATTTCTACCATTTTCTGTAAATCAGTTTTCTGAATCAAAGCTTCCTTCTTGATGTTTTCATTCAGTGACCTAGCAATATTTTCATTCTTTTGGGCTACAACGGTAGTAGGATCGACACCATTTTTTTCCTCTTCCCTTTACACGTTGATTAGAGTTTGAGAGCAAGTCAGCTCTCATGGGATTTTCAACCATCTCTTCTTTCTTAAAAGCATGGCCAGGCTTCTTTAGAGCTAATCTATATATTTATAAAAGCCATTCATTTTGTCTTGACATTTGTCTCATTCAGCAATTGACACATTTTCTCTTCTTTTTTTAAAATTTTTCTTTCTCTTATCATAACGGGCCTCTTACTTTTTATTTTGTATTTTTTTTTTTAATTTTTTTGAGTCTTCCACAATGGAGAAGCGCCCTTTCCCTAGAAATCAAACCCTCTCTTTTTTTGCCTTTCCCTGATCATGAAGCGACCTTTTAAATTTTTATTTTATATTTTATATTTTTAATTTTTTTTGGGTCTTCCATTATCGTGAAACCCTCTTCCCTAGAAACCAAACCCTCTTCTCTAGAAACCCTCTTCCATTTGTTTGTGCACAGATGAAGAAATACACTATTGGAGAACCTTTGAAAATCAGAACCCCGTCAGATCATCTATGCCTCTCTTTTTTTTTTGGATCTTCGACTGATCGTGAATCTGTCTCTTAGAAATTTTGATTTTCATGTGAAACCTTCTCCCGTTCAGGTCTATATAGATGAAGGAGGTGACCATGGGAGAACCATCTAGATCCCAAAACACCTTCAGGATCATCCATGGGGCATTCTGTATCTTAGCGCTTTCGGGCCGATGTGTAGCATGATTTGTTAGCGGCTCTGGCGATGGCAGTCCGAATCGAGGTATTGACACTGCGGAGGACCATCTATAGTTGGTTTATTCCTAGGCAATCAGTCATTGACATGTTTCTAGAGTGTAAAACGAGCTATTCAAGCGAATGGTGCGGGATCGGCCAAGTTAATGGACGACCATGGCTAGGGATGTGGCAAGTTGAAGGAAGGAAAGGAAGCAGAGGTATTGGGCTTTGTATAAAAGGAAAAAATATGGTGCCACACGGGATGTTTAGATTTGAGATTGTGTAGAAAGAGCCATTCGAGCGAATGGTGCGGGATCGGCCAAGTTAATGGACGACGGCGGCTAGGGATTCGGCGACTTAAAGGAAAGGGAACAGAGGTATTGGACTTTGTGTTAAAGGAAAAAAATGGTGCCACACCAGATGTTTGGATCCGAGATTAACGTATGACGTTGACGTACTATATGGGAGAGAATAGCATCACATCGGCTATATATCAATGGACGACGACAGCTAGGGGGAAGGCAGGTAACAGGGGTCCAGCTTCTTCTTCTTCTTTAATTCCAATTTCATACCGGTTGGCCAGTTTCCCAATTTTATACCGGTTGGCCGGTTTCAAGTTATTTTCCGGTTTGACTGGTTCTTTTGATGAATGATGTCAATTTAAACTAGTGGGGGTTTTTTTATCTATTATCTGGTCCAGTTTTCTCACATTTTATTTTTTTATATAGGACGTGGCAAGAGAATAAGAAAAAAGAGAAAGAATAATAGAGAAAAAAATAATAAAAATAAGAAAATAAAAAGATTGATAGATAAAATTATAAATATAGTAAGATAAAAATTAATAAATCCTAAAAAGAATTGTAAAGAGAGAATTTTAAAGCAGTACAAAGGGTTAATAAATTTTACAATAATATAATATAAACTAATAAATAGGAATTCATAATGTAAATAGATAGATGATAAAATTTGTGTTAAACAAAAAACTTTTAAATTAAAAAAAATTTGTCATACCATGGCATCAACTTAAGGTACAAACTATGTGTAGATTAATTAAAAATAAAGAATAAAATGAGAGATTTTAAATAATATACAAATGACTATTATTTTTTGTGTTTCACTTTGTTACTGGTTTAAATTTCAAATAAAAAATTTATGTTTTTTAGATTTCAAACAATATTAATATATTTGTGTTTTATTTTGATTTGGGCTTAGGGTTCTGCTTTACATGAGTCATCAAGAACTCTGGTAGGAAGTTTTGCCCCGTCCTTTTTTGAAGTAGTGTAATGATTATTTTTTTCAGTCTCGAGTTAAGTGTCTATTTTATATGCATACAGATATATGTATTAATGTATAATATAATAATAAAAAATATATTCAAATGAGGTTATATGTACTATATACAATTTAATAATAAAAATAAATAATTTTGTGAGCTTTTTGATGGGATTGATGCTTATTGAGTTTATATATAAAAGGTGAATGAAAAACTTTTGCTCAATTTGGTTTGAGTTTGAGTTTGAGTTTGGACGTAAGAGGACTTTCAACTTTGGTTTTTTGCATTTGTGGTAAGGAAATCTTTGGTTTTGTTTTTGTTATTTAGTGTTAGTATTTGTTGGAAATGCTGAGTTGCTTGATTTGTTTGTTCTCAGTTTAGTTTGGTTGAGGTGAATGTGAAAGGATTTAGCTCAAACGTGTGGCTCATTACTTTTCTTTTTTTTTTAAAAAAAAAAAAGTTTCGGTTTCAGTTTTCATCTTTTTTGTGAGTTTATCTTTTATCTTCATATTACTTCTTTTGTGACTTAATAGAATATGTTAAACATGTATTTCTTTTTTAGTTAATAATTTTAGAGATATTGGTACTCTAAGCATATTTGTTTTATTAAAATGTTAATATTCTATAAAGATGTGTGCATTTTTCCTTTTTGATGTTATTAATG